TGCCATCAAATTTTCAAATTTCTCCACCTCAAACTTTGCATTTGAAAGTATTATTGCCTTACAGAAAACCCTAAATCAGGGCTTTGATACCACTTGTTGTGCACGGAAGCTCTAAACCCAATGAGTTACTAATTTGGCAAATAAAGTATGAGAAATAAAACATGAAACATACAATAGAAGAACAAAAATATATATGTGGTTTACCCCAAAAGGGCTACATCAACGGACAAGGCAAACAAAAATCCACTATACCAATAAATGTTACATCACAGATTTTGGAACAAACTTCGACAAAAATCCCAAGTCAAGGAAACCCTTTTAAACCACTCTCTATTCTTTCAAACCACTCCCTATTCTTTCTCTTTACTTTTGGCAACCATTACCGACAACATCATATAGAGACGCAAGAGCAACTCATTCTCTTTACTTCTGGCAACCATTACCTACTATTATCGACAACACCAGATAGAGACCCGAGTGCAACGAGAAACTGACTTTGTCTCTATCTAAAAAGGAAGCCAATCAAAATCTCAATGGGAACCGCTTCTCTACATAAAACAAGCCTCGCAATTTTCGGAAGTCTAAAAGAGGCTCCATCACAATGTTTCTCTCCATAAAAAGCTCTCTTCTCTCTAAGAGGAAATTGCATCTTATGTACAAGAGGCTCTATCTCCATCTCTCTCTCTAGAAGAATCACCATTCTCATATGGTAACCCAAATTGGGTACACAAATTCTCTGCACTTTCATCCCATATATATAAAATTAGGAGTCCGCACTAAATATGAAACTTCCTATAGATTTTACATATATTTTAAAAACCATACAAATATATCAAAGAGTCATAATCTTTTTCGATTTCTATTTCATTTAAGAAATGTATCAAATAGCAATCTCAATTTCACATAATATGGAATATCTAATATCTTAATCTCACATAATAGGGGAATATCTCCATCCCACATAATAGGCGATTTCCTTATGTGGGTGGTTTTAAATAGTACCAAATCCAACACGAAGCTCTAAACAATCAAATTAGAGCCCACATTCAAATAGGATTGAGAAATGTGGTTTCAATACTAGAAATATTTGATTAGCCTTAAAATAGTGTAGATCGAACATATCTATGAAAACTTGAATAACTAAAAAATTGATGATTCAAATATACGTTACAAGATGCACTATTTCTAAAACTTGAAATCCATTTTTTTCTCAAGTCCATGCATCTTGATGTCGAGATGATCAATTTGCGGATATATGCGCATCAAGACAACTTCTTTCAGTGAAATTTTTGATGTAGGCTCTAATTTGATTGTTTAGAGCCTAGGCTCTCTACAAAATTTATCACCGTTATTTTAAAGGTGAAAATTTTTATATAAAAGGTTAGAATTTTGAAAAAAAATAACAGTTAAAATAATTTTATTTTATGAGTATAATTTAAAAATGTCAAATGCATAAATATCTAATCAATAGTTATAATTCAGTTCATCAATTAAATAAATGAAAAATGGCCTCCAAATCGTTCGGTTTTAAAACATTGAAATAATTAGGGCACGTTTGATGACAAGAAATTTCATATTTAGAAACAGAAAGTTTCAAGTTATTGAACTATTCCTCATTAATAGAAAGTAGGATGAAACTGACTTTATGAACTTAGTTTACTCCTTTTTATGGAAATTTCACCTCTGTTTTTTTGTCTTTTCAATCTTCCCAAATACTTTCTCTCTCTTTGTAAGTCCTTTCTCTTGACCATCTATCGTACAACGAGAAGTAAATATTTTGTGTAAATATGCTTTGCAAATTCATAAATATAAGGAAGAAGTAGGGGACTATTTATAAATATAAGCTTGATACTGGCTTTAGATATGTAATACAATGCCATGGAAAGAGTTTGGCCATGGGTAGAGTTTTACCAACTGAACTGGTGGATTAGAACCGGTCAGCCACTGGTTCCAAGCTGGCATGGAACTGCTAGAGTCTGTTCACCAATTTCTTGATTTTTTTTACATATAGAAAATTTTAAAAAAATAAAGCCTATAACATATTGGAACCTGGGTAAAACAAGGGGGATATTAGATCAGGGTTATAAGATAGCAATGGTATGCGTTGATTTTGTGCATTTGAATCACTAACATGTTTGGTGGGACCAAATATCTAGGCATCACTGCTCAAACCAATGATCTAGGGTGATGATGGCCATAGTATTCCTAGAGTCATGTGGGACGTACAAATGATTGTGTATAATAAAATTGGAAACGGACGCACAAATGATTGTGTATAATAAAATTGGAAACGGATTGTATATAATGAGACCACTTACTTTAAGTACAAAGAGGTCACAATTACTTACAACCATCCGATGTGAAATCTGATAGCTTGGGTATGTCATAAGATTTGAAAAAAATTCTTTTGAACTTTGAGTTTGATCAATGACATAAATGAAGTCAACCAATTTTACATCCAATAGTCAAGATTAATTATGATCACTTTATACCTAAGGTAAATCATCTTATTATATATATTTCCATTTGGAAAAAGAAGTAAGGTGCTTCTCAAAAACCTAAATGTTTTGGCACAAAAAAAACTCTCAAATTGATCTACCTCAAGATGTACAAATAGGGAAAAAAAAAAAGCTTTCAAGTCCAAAAAAATATTGTATCATAAAGTCAATGGGCCGGGGCGGCCCGGCCAAGCCTGGTCCATAGGGTCCTACAGTACTAGGGCTAGGTTCACAAAATGTGGGCCCAAGGGAGGACCGGAGCCGTGCCATCATGAAAGGTTAGGGCTAGGCTGGGGTGGGCCTGGGCCAAAGCCATGACAGGGCCGGCCTGGCATTTTGTCTTTAACCTTTTTCTTTATCGTTTTTTTATTCTATTTGGCTCTTTTAACTTTTTGCTTTATCTTTCTTTTATTCTATTTGGCCTGGCCTAGCGTGTACTGTGCTTGGGCCAGGGCCTCTTTCGCCCGGCCCAGCCTGTTGTCAACCCTATGTCCGCGTCTCTAACGATATGGTCGATGGGAGTGGACCACACCCCGCCAGTCTCACAAAGGTAATCCACTTGAAACTATGTTTCATCCGCACGATTAATTTTGAGAACTAAAGGTAAATGTCCATATCAAATCGTACACCATTAATTTTGAGAATTGACAAGGGCAATTCTATTGCTGGTTCGACACAGATACAATAGAAAAGTAAAAAAAAATCGAGAAACATGCGATCATGAGGTTTCCAAGAAGGGAAAAGTTTAAATAGAGCCGAGGCTCTAAACAATCAAATTTGAGCCTACTTCAAAATTTTTACTAGAAGATGTTTTGATGCCCCAATTTCTTCAAATTGATCATCTCGACATCAAGATGTATGGACATGACAAAAAAAATAGATTGCAAGTTTTAGAAATAGTATATTTTGTAATGCAGTTATGAGCCTTCAATTTTCAAGTTTTGATAAATATGTTGATCTACCCTATTTTTGAAGCTTTAAACTTTATAAATAAATATGAAAATATATTGTAAAGCTATCACAAATATTTTCAATATTGAAACTA